GGGACCGTCGTTTTCGGTAGCGCTGGCAGTGGGGTTGGCGTGGTGCCGGGGTTGGGGAACTGGCAGCCTTGAAGCATTGCCGACGACGGAAAGCCCGAACTGTGAGTAGCATCCCTGAGTAAATTCTCTTTTATCTGAAATAAAATCGCATATACATAATAATGTTCTATTTTTGCAAACCGTAAACTTTATGCAAATCTTCTGCGGACCGAATCGCCGTTTGTAGATTGATCCAACAACATCTTCAGCCGAAGCAAAGCGCGCGGATCAAATTCAAATCAACTCGCATGTAATTTTCACATGTAATTATTCATAGAAATAAATAGTAATAATAATAATAATAAACTATAATCAATTTTCATGTCGATCTGCTTGTCAGCTTGTTTGCTCAAATTTAACTTTTCAATTGTGTAGTGTCATTGTTTCGTGTCTCGGTGATATTTATATATATATTTTTTGTCTTTTCCCTCCATTTATCTCTCTCTCAACTGTAGGAGACAAGACTTTGCTTCCTTCAGGTATTCAGCGATCAGCAACTGGCGGGTTTGGAGGCGAGGTTCGAGGTGCAGAGATACCTAAGCACGCCCGAGAGGGTAGAGCTGGCGGCGGCATTACACCTGTCCGAGACCCAAGTGAAAACGTGGTTTCAAAATCGTCGGATGAAGCACAAGAAGCAGCTGAGGAAGTTGAACACGAGCGGCAGTGGCAATTCCAATTCGGGGCAACAATCGATATCCGTTACGTCGCCCGCTGGTGAGTCGTGTTCCATTTCATCTTCTGCGTTCGATCAGGTCGCGCCTCGCTGATCGAACGATCGGTTCATTCCTCTTTCTCTCTTCAAAAAAATGCGGAAAAATGCAAATCGGCAGTTCCACATTTCGAACTCGGTAATGCCGGAAAGACACTTCGCGATGACGGTATCTACGGAATTTCGCATCGAGTAGCCTCCGCAACGCGTAATTCAGTTACCGGTAAATTAAATATCGCGTATCGACTTTTCGATAAACAGCTGCGAGCAGTATTCCCGTACCGCGAGTTAATTAACCCGGATTAATGACGCCGTGTCCTAGATAAGCGCGTACTCATGAATGGCTGCGCCGCTACGATATAAAAAAAAAAAAAAATAATTGCAACGCGTACACATGTCGATATTCTTTCACGCGTTCGATTCGAAAGCGCGAATCGCGAAGGAGATGGATCCGAGATCGAGCTTCAATCACATCGACAAGCAAGTTTCATCGTGTGTGACGTCGTAACATCGGGCGAACGTATGCGAGTTAATTAATAATTAATTAGGTGCGGAGATGCGCGGAGATACGAAAATGTTGAACAAACTGCGAGTCGACATGCCATGAATAATCGGGCCATAGTTATCGGGTTAATCTGGCCGGAGCCGGAACGAGGAGCCGCGGGATGGCGCGTTATAACATCGGTTGTCGTTAAATACTTCCCTGTTGTCACGCTAATGGGCGATATCTGTATAATGCAACCAAAATACCGCTGACAATAAATTACGCAAGTTCGGCTTAACTAGCCAGACCGTAACCGTGGTTACGTTGCGAGGAACTATAATCATTAACGGTATCTGCGTAATGGTCGCATTCCGTCGTAGATATTACCGTAATCGCTCGTCGCTGACGTCGCATCGCGGGATGCGTATTACAAATATCCCGGAGGAAAATTCACCGCGATCGTGTCGTTGCTCTCTTAAACGGAATCAATGTATTATCACACGGAGAGAGAGACTATAATTACAACGCCGTGAATCCGGTGAAATATCGCTGGGAGAGGAGTCAATTAGTGGTGGATTGTTTCGATCGGTAATATCGAAATTATTGAAAACAGTGACTATAAACAAAAGCTTAAGAATAAAAAGATATACATCGATAATTTTGGATTTTCAATATTCAATTATGAATTTTATTTGATAAATATGAGGATTGCTCTCAAAAATAATGATTCAAAGTATAGAAAGCTGTAAAAATTATATCTTGCTAATTACTAGCATTTTCATCGTGAAATTGTATTTGTGATCAGTTGGATATAATATGAAAAAGCAAAGTGCGAATATTTGCACAAAAAAGAAGTAAAATATTCATTGAAATCTCTGTTATTATATTTATTGTTAACATTTTCATGGACTCAATTTAAGAGAATATTAAGCGATTGTCGTTTTCATTTTTTGATACCATAGACTTGGCATATTTTTTTCGTGAATTATGCTTGAAATATGTTGTATATGTTGAGACATATTTATATTTTTTAGTATTTAGTATTTTTAGTATTATCAGTATTTTATTATTGATAGCATTATTCTTGCATTATTCATTAATCTTTCAAGTCACATTTATTTAAAGATTTGTTTTGCACAGCTGTTTAGTTTTCATAGAAACAACTTTATTTTCAGATTTTTTTATATAAACCTTTTTGTATTAATATATAATCTTTTTTTATTTTTTAAACAAATCTTTAAAAAAGATTTCATAAAATAAACTTTTTTTCAATTCTAATACTTTCTTTATATTTTCCACTTTTATAAATGAAAGTTCTATATGTGCAGATACTTTCATAGGATAAATATGTTTATATATATTTATGTATATATTTTTATATTTTTTAAGCTTTAGAGCCTAAATTAAATGATATTCGTTTTATGTTACATTATGTTAAATATTTAAATTTCTTTATTTGATAGTTATTGTTTAAATTAAAATTATTTTTATTACCAGTATTAATAGTTATTTATATATTAATTTAACGAGGGTTAAAATATTCTAAAAAACTATAAACGTTTACTTAAAAATTATTGAATTATCCATTATATATATTCATAAACAACGTCACAAGTAAAAAAATAACTAAAAAAAACAAATGTATACCTAAAAAAAATCAAAATTTAAAAATCAAAATAAAAAGAATGTTTCTAGGTAAAATCTTCCCTGCGCTCGTTAGTCTATCCCGGTATTCGTCGTGTTCAAATATAAAAGTGATCGTCTAACGAGACGACGCGAGACATTTCGAGCGATTTAAATAGTTTGGCCCATGGCGTTCGCATCTTATATACCAAGTTGTTCGTCTCGGTAGACAAGATGGCTTCGTTCGGTAGGAAGGGCTAACCGAGTTACATAGACGTCTCCTTGGCAGCAACCAAGAAGGAGGTATCGAGAGAGGAGGGTGAGTAGGGTGGAGGGCACATAGAAGACGGAGACCGCCTCGGCGTCTTTGGACTCCGAGCGGGCTATGTAAGGAACCCAGGGGGGAGATTCGTTCCCTCCTTCTCGATGCCTCTCTTTCACCGTCTCGTTCCAACTCCCGTTCCACACCCGTCTCTCGGAGAGAATTGCTCAATTACCCGCTAAGTGCTCGGTCAGACCTATATTCTCGATTGTAGCTCGCCGCTAAGGGGACTATCGTAGGCCATAGCGGCGCGTGCCGCGGATTCGACTTTTATTCAAATATCATCGCGATTGCCCGGCGAGAGGCAAAGAGGAACAACTTGACTCCTTCGTCGAGGCGAAAAGCAATTGCGAAAATATTTGCCGCGCCGTGGCGTTTCGACGAACTAATTAAATCGCGAAAATCTCTTTACGAGGGCGCTTCGCTCTCGACAAGTCGACGAGTCGAAAATCACCGGCCAATTCGTCGTCGTCTCGATTTTTCAATAGGTACAAATTGATATCCAGTCTGTATCTTAATACAAATGATTACTTGCTGATGTTGACAGAACGTCCCGTAGACTTTTCGCTGAGCGGCGGCCGCGAGTCGCGCGCGAGCAGCGACGCGCCCGTGGACTCCGACGACGAGGACGACGACGAGATCGACGTGCTGGGCGACGAGACGCCGTCGCCGACACCGACGCCGACGGCGACGCCAACCCCGACGCCGACCCCGGCACCGGCGCCCACGCCAACGCCGACGTCGACGCCGACCTTGACGTCGGCATCGACGATCTCCACCCCAACGTCGACGCGAAGCGGCATCCTGCCCCTGTCCAGACGCGGCACGCCACCGAGGATTCTCCACGCGACGATCCATCCGCATCCGCACTCGCATCCGCACCCGCATTCTCATCCGCATCCACACCCGGTCGGCCTGCACCATCCGCCGCAACACGGCCAGCATTCCGCCCAACGTCAGCATCGCTGAGGCACGTCACGACGTGGTCGAGAGTCACCGCTCGTTTCTTGCTCCAGAATATCACGGCAACCGCGCGTTAGAGAGGAAACGGATGATCCTCGTCCGATGGTATCGGTCCCCCCCGGTATCCCGCGACGACCGGATCTACCGAGAATTCACCTAGAGTAAAGCTTGCCGCGTAACGGAGAAACACGGAATTCGGCAGAGATCGAGGGCCCCTCCCCGCTCGAGGGCTCGAGGAAGAAAACCAACGTCTCTGCGTGTCTTTACGTGGTATTTACGTGTCACTGAAATAATTCACGCTATTCACAACGCAGAAACGGAATCGCCACCCGGAGCCGTTCACTGGATTATCCCGCTTGCGTAACGTTATAAATAAAAAATGAGAAAAAGAAATGGAGTTTTGCCGGTTCCAAAAAAAATCTCTACTTTTTATAGCGAAATACGGTAAATAAATACGGTATCTGGTCTGTTGTTACTTTTTATAGTCAAGTGTAAAAAAAAATAGGCCGTGGTTTTCGTTGAGAATTAAACTGTCATGCTCTAACGCGATGTGTACACTTGCTTTTCCTCGATTATCTTTTCCCAGGTATGTATGGCAATTTTCTAAAAGAATTGAATACGTAATGTAACTATTGAGAGAGAGAGAGAAGAGGGTTGCCGTAATTTTTAGAGAACCGAACTTGACTTACATCAAACTAAATTAACGAATTAATTAAAAATATGACAGATACTTGAATGCGAATATTTGCACTTTCTCATTTGTGGCTAAAGATAAGATTTCGTTGTAAAAACGATAATAATCAGCGAGACGATAATAATCAGCGAAAAGTTTTTAAGTTTTCTATATTTTAAATTGCTATTTTTTAAGAGAGGCTTTCATATCTACTAAAAATTCGTATTCAAATTCAAAATTATATCATTCTTTACTCTTAAAGCCGTATCGGACCACAAATTGGAGATTAAGATTGGAGATTTCGACTAATTAGAATAACCTTGTTCAACAAGCAAAGATTGAAATTACAGATCAGTCTATTTTTCAATCGCGATATTAATAATGATTTCTAGCCACGTGATAAACACGCAACATTTATATGACAAATAGAAAATAAAATTAATTTGTGTTTTGTTAAATGTCAATGTCGCAACGCAATTAATAAGGTACTAACTCCGATTAAGATTGTTGAATTTCGAATAAGAGAACGATCTTGTAAATATAAAATAATTTAATTTATATATATATTTTGTTACAAATCTGTATCTGATCTGCATCATCATAAATCTGAATCATGATGCAAATCGCAACTTTATAATGTGATTGGACATCTTCAATCTTTAATCGGCAATCTCAATCTTCAATGCGTAAACCTGCAAAGCGAGTAAAAATCGAAATCGAATTTCTGGATGCTAATTTTATATAGTCACTATTTTCAGCAACCTATTGAAACAATTTCTTCTAGATAATTTTTTAAGTGAGATTTCGTTGAATGTAGTGTCGACTAGCTTACCACTACTTTTCAGTGATAACACGCTAATCTCATTTATGAGAGTGGGACGTTGCCTCTCGGCGGGCCTAACTGGCCGCGTGCATCGACATTGACATTTAATTGCGTCGCGGATCGCAGCGGATGATGAGCGAGGTCTCTTTACGTTGATCGTTTCGTTAATGGACGGCACGACATTTCGTTGCCCGTGGCACGAAAGACATTTTCGCGAAAGTTAACGAGGCGTCGAGTCGACAACGGAGGGAGCAACGGAACACCCCGCGACGCTCGCGAGATTAATTATTAAGGCCGTAATTACGATCGAGCGGGATCGACGCTTTTTCTCTCGTACGACGCCACGACGTCGCGTGCGATCTCGCGCGCGAAGCGGAGCGAATTTTGCTACCTGTTGCGGGGGGAGGGGGAGGGGAGGGGGGTGACGTTAGATCGGCAAGATCGGCAAGTACCTGTTAAGAAAAGGGACACGACATCGCGGTGGATTTTCCGGCGGGCGCGCGTCGGCGTCGCACACGGCCGGCTAGGCGGCTGCGGGGCACGTCGTGCTTCCAGTTGGGGTGAATCCTAATACCCAGATAATGGGAAGTAATTGCGAGGGATCAGAGCGAGCGAAGCTACTCTGTCGGCTGTTGGGTTCGGGGGCAGCGGGATGCGCACAAAGAGAGAGAGAGAGAGAGAGAGAGAGAGAGAGAGAGAGACGGAGAGAGGGAGAGAGGAGAGAAAGGGAGGGAGGGAGGAGGGTCGTACCGCGCTTCCATCCCTCATTCCCTTCATCCCTCTCCTCTCCTTCCTACTTCCCTTCTCACCGTCGATTCGCGGGAGTGGAGAAAGAGGACGAAGGGAGGATCGTAATTGTGTTATCGGGACGAAATCACGGGGTACATTCTCGGATACACATCGGATAGATAGATGGATACGCGCGTCGCGAAACCGTGCATCGCGAGATTCAATCTGCGTGAGATTTATTTCTCCGGGAGACGCGGGGCAGAGAAAGGAGAATTGTGCGATTTGTGTCTGTGTACCGACGTCGCACGATGCTGCAACGTTCGGACCCTCGGAAGGAAGGAGACATTCTCTTGGAATGCGATTCATCCGAGGGATAACTCTCGCAAACGAAACGCTGCGCGGAGGGTCGCGAAAGAATGGAGGAGGGGGGGAATGGGCGGGTGGCGGAGGCGCGGAGAGGGCGCGTGTGCTTTGATGCGGAGGCAAGTATTGCTGTGGCGTTGTTTGAAGGAGGAAACAACGCCCCGGCCTAGCCCAGGTAAGCTGGTAAACTAATGAGATCACCGGGCCATTTATGACGTTTATTAGATTCCGTTAAGACGCCTATTATTACGGTACGTAAATAAAAGGGGGAGAATTCGCGCCCCTCGTCGGAGGGAGACTCGCGGAGCGGAATGCGGCGAAAATAATGAAATAAAGGACAATGAAGTGGCAGGTACAATGGCCAATAGGGCACGGAACGAGAGCGAGGACGGGCAAGGCGCCGACGGGTGGCGAGAGTACGCGGGTCCTCTCTCTTTCCCTTTCACCCCCGTGTGTGGAAGGGGGTGCTGCGACAAGGGGTTACAGAGCGAGCCGCGCTTTAGTTCGGCGGGCTAAATGCAGTGGGCGTGTTCCCATTACTTTCATTATTTTCAGTCGCCGGGGTTCGGCGGGCTATCGATGCCCGAATGTAACGTTAGGTCGTTCGTGCGTGTAACGCGGCCGGCGAAAGGTGGCCGACCCTTCTGAATCCTTCCGCCCTCCTTCGCGATCTTCCTCTCCCTCCCCCTCCCCCCCTCCTCCTTCCCGCGATCTTCGCTGCGAGATCGATGGGGAATCGGCGACGGCAGATTCGCGAATTTATCGGCGCGGTGAGCAAAGATCAATTTAATCCGCTCGAAAAGCGGACAGGGGGAGAACGAGGCGAATTTATGCCTCCCTCTCCCCCGAAGTAGAGGAGGCCCCGCGCGAGGGTAAACCGTTAGCCTAACAAGCTGTCAAGACGTCGCCGCATGTCAATTCGCGGCTCTCCAACGATCCCCGAAATAAAGCCGCCTAAAAACCCTTCAGCCGTCGGTCCGTCTACGACGAGCCGCGGACGAGAGTTTTCAGTTTCCGGCTGTAAAACGTCCAAAGGTCTCTCTCTCTCTCTCTCTCTCTCTCCGTTTTTCTCTTCTTTTTTTTTCCTTCTTTCTACGCGGAAATTCCTACTTAATTACGGGGACTCGTCGAATCGGAGAGGACGGCGCGCGACGTGAGGAGGATCACGGAGGGACACGTAATACGCGAGGAAAGGAGAGGATACACGCTATAGAGAGACAACGGCGTTACTGTCCACGTGCCGTTTAACTCGATCACAGTGGCAATCTGGCCTCGTTTCAACCTCCGGTTACTACGACGCTTCCGCTAACAAATAACATTGTCGTCGACCCTGCGGGGGCGTTCTGATTCGATTTGCGCACCGTGAAAGCGCGCCCGGGGAAGGAGCGACGTGGCGAACGTAATGCGAAATGCGACACGCGGCGAGGATGAAAGGCCCGTCGAAAATGCCGCGTATGTTGTCTCTCGGCGCGCTCCTAATCAGTAATTTTCGAAAAGCGCGAGTCGGCGCGATTGTTTAAAAGCCGCGCTACCCCGCTCGGCCTGCTACATTGGCACAAAGTACAGGGTAAGGGCACGGCACCCCGCGACACACACATTTTTTCTATCTCTCTCTCTCTCTCTCGGTACTCGGCGAGATCCCTATCTACACGGCATGTTTAAAAATAATTGCCGCGGTAGATCCGACGATAGTCACGGAGTCGCCCTCACCTTGGCGCTTCCTGGCCTCTCGAGTGGTCCTCGTTCTACGATATAAAGGCGAACTCGCCTCCGTCGTCCCCTTTAGGCGAGGGCGCACGCGGCCTCTTCCGCCGCCGGTCGAGTGGCACCCCACCTTTCATCCACTCTATCACGGCGTTTAAAGAAGTAAAGACTAAAGGTCCTTTATACGTGTCGAGTGATCTCACCTCAAGATGGACCCGCTCGAAAAGCAGTCGGGGCTGCTCGACGACAGAGGGGATGGCGCCTGGTTTGTTACGCGAGACTAAAAAAAAAAAGAACGTATTAGTGCAGCCCGAACGTAATCATTGTCGTTAAATCGCCGATGTACGATCCACGACGGACCGGAACGGGATGCGGACTTGCGGACGGAAAAATGTCTCTCTTCCCTTTTCTTTCAGTGTTTACAGCATTTATATTTATTTCACGTACAACTTGTATATATTATAATTATAATCGACAAACAGTAGTCTCTCATAACGGAAACAATTATTATTAAATGCGATTATAACTAAAGGGGCAAAGATACGCCCAGCCAGATAAGGCCTGAGCCTCCTACACTCAAAAACAAGATTACTATATATATATATATATATATATATATATATATATATATATATATATATATATTAGCCTTTGAATATTACAGAATTAGTCTTTGTATATATGTATGTGTATATTGTTTTAGGGAACTTTACTTCTAACGGTTCTTAGTATTGTTTCATATCATTTCTCCCTCTTGCCCTCGATAAGGATCTCTCACGGGTCTACGATTAACATTGCGAGACCTCGCAGGAATCTCAACTTATTAAAAATACACATCGCTCGCGGATGTATTATTATTGCGCGTTATATGTATTTGTGCACAAGTACTCGTCATTAGGTACCTCATTTATAAGGGGGGGGGGGGGTTTTCAGGCGTTGTCTAGACACCACTCTAGTTAGGCCATTTACTATCTCCAATAAAATTATCCGGGAAAGCGCGCGCTATTAAAATCGCTCTAAATATTTTACCATTAATAATCAATAGTAAACCTGTACAACGTGTACCCGAACGCTGTTTACAGGTTTTCATGACAGACATCCGGAATATGCGACGAAAACGATTACGGAGGGGAGGGAGGAGAGCACGGTGATGATGCGATTATCGTTATAGTTTAAATCCACGACTCGGTCAAAATTGATGATCAATATTAAAAGAAAAAGAAAAAGATCGTGTCGGCGAGAAACGGCAGCATCGTTGTACGACACGAAAATCACGATTCTGACCGACGAGTCCTCATGCAAGAATTCAAACGTCGTCGCGCAAGTAGTAGTCTTAATTAAATGCCTCGAGAATTTGCAAGAGATCAAAACGTGCGTTTCTCCCGTACGGCCCTCGGAGTATTAAATTAGCGGTTTGTTCGTTTTTTGTTCGAGGCTGCATACGGGACGCGGCGACGCGAGCACGACTGAGATCGTGCGAGCCGATAATTAATTACAGTCTTGTCGAACGGTTTCCGCGAATCGTGCTTAAAAAGCGAAAAAAAAAGAAAACGATCCGCCTGTTGCGTCTTTGTGGAAACCAGAGGAGAGAAAAAAA